GCAATTGCAGAGGTCTTTGCAGTTGAAACTACTGACCTTGCTCTGTCCCAGCGTGCTCCATCGAGATATAATCCATGGATAAAAACGCCATCTTCTGGTTCTGTCTCAGATGTATCAGATGGAATAACCTGAGGGTAGAGACACACACTAGTAATCGTCTCCTTCCCAGACAATTTTTGTCTCATAAAGAAAACATTAGCTAAATTTTCAGAACACATTCATGGAAACTCCAAGATATTATAGCTCGTTAAGCTATACATTTTTCAGTAAAATGGAAATGTAAAATACAGTTTTTAAGGCATTTGATGAGATTTTATTGTACCTCACATTAATTTTTGCTAAAATAGAAGCGCAGCATTAGATTTTTAAAATTAAATATTGAGATATATAAAAGTTCTATCATAGAGATAGCAAGACAAATATATACTTTCTTCATGAAAATCAAAGAATGAAAAGAAGTCAAATTGTATATAATGGGCTATAAAAATATGAATACATATCCTCCTTGCTTTAATACATGATTTTAATGTAATGATACACTGTGGAGTTTAAGGAGTTACTGTACCTCAAATTCATATCCTAGTAAATCAATAGGGATGGTATACTTTCTGGCATAATTCTGCATAGCTCCAGTTAAAAAGGCTTGGGTGAAAAAGAAACCTGAGAGCCAAAACACGCAAGGTTTTCCTGAATTATACCAGTCCTATAAAGGGAAAACGAAATGCACTATGTTGATTTTTTTCAACTTACACAAGCGTCATCTAACATACAATTCCTGATTCTGGTTTTCATGTGTGTTGCCCACACTTTCATCACAAGACTCTCTTCCCTGACACCAATCACAAAAACTATATTTTGGTCCTCCTACTTTTTCCTTGTCTAGCTATTCTTGGAAAAACCTAACTGATTTTAACATAAACCTGAATACACAAAGTTTGAGAGATTTAAATTTTCTGCAAAAAGCCAAATGTAAATTATTTGGGGATTAATCATATTACTTAATCCCACTCAAAAACAACCATTTTAGGGACAGCTGGATGGCTCAGTTGGTTAGAGCGCATGCTCTGAGCAATAGGGTTGCCGGTTCGATTCCCAAATAGGCCCGTGAGCTACTAGATTGAAGACAACAACTTGAGCTGAGCTTCAACTGAGCCACCGGTGGGCAGCCAGATGGCTCAGTTGGTTAGAGCGCATGCTCTTAACAACAAGGTTGCCGTTTCGACTCCCACATAGGATGGCGGGCTGCATCCCCCACAACTAGATTGAAAATGGCAACTGGACTTGGAGCTGATGGGTCCTGGAAAAAACACATTGTTCCCCCAAAAATGACCAATTATTCATAAATCTAAGCCTCGGGCTCTTTTCGTAATTTGCCATCAGTATTAAAATCATAACACCATGTTTGAACCACAAACTTAGAATCTTCAAAAATATATATGTCACATATTACTTGGGTTTGGATAAAGTAAAAGTTTAATTCTCTATTCGGTACTTTGAAATGTGTATAATTTTCAATATTTTAAAATTTTGGTTAGATTACCAAACTACTAATCATATTCAACTAAAAGACATTCAAGTGACCATAGTGAATTTCTAATATCTCCCAGTCAATCAAAAATTAAAATTATATATATGTATATTATATATAATCTTTTACCTGTAAAAAGTTCAACCGGGCTAGAAAATCTGTGACGTAACTTCCTAGAGGTTTAAGACTTGGGTATGATCGTTTGGCCCATATTTCTGGAACTTTCCCAAGAAGCAAACTGCTGGAGAGTGCCTCCAATGCAGAATCCATTACAACCACGCCTTTAATAGCTTTTTCAAGGTCCCGTAGAGTGTGACGTATAGTTTTAGTTAAACTGCAAGGAAATAACTTATGTCATCAACCTATATATGAAGTAAATATCAACACAGAATTTGTCTTTTCAGAAGAAATGGCAGGAATTTAATTTACAGCTGTATGAGGGTGTTTCCCACTTGGTAATGTAAGGTAAGTTTAGGTTATACTTAAGCGAACATCTTTCATTTTAGTAATAAGAAATATTTTAAAATATAGAAAGTAATACAACCAACTTTCTGAGTATTATTGTTCAGGACCAAGCTAATTTAAGCAAAGAATGATTTATGGAAACATATTATGTAAATAATGTTACAGATGACATGCAAATACAGAGGGTGCCAAACCAATGTATACACATTTTAAGAAATATTAAAATTGTAATAATATATACCGATAACAAAAGATGAATACAAGTCATGTGTATACATTGTTTTGGCACCCCTGGTATGTTATAAAGTTATAAAAGTTATGCATAATGGTGAAAAATGCAGAAAAAGTTATAAAGGTGTTATGCAGTGGCCTAAACTTGGGAAACGCTATATCAAAACATAAAGGGCATATTCATTTATGTGCTTTCAAATACTTTGCTTCCCTCTTAGGCCAAAACTGCTAAGAACACCATAAATATACCTGATATGAGGATTTTAGACTAGAAGTCCAAGCAATTGAGGGATAGTATGTTATTATATATAAATATATACGGTATTTGTATAGGAAATACTGAGTTAAGGCATCATAGTGTTTTAATATGTTTTATTTTAAAACATCAACAAGTCTGGAAACTCAAATAAACTTGGAAACACTTCAGAAAATTCATAACCAAAACAGTCTCCATTCCTTAAGCCAGTACTGAATTATAGAAAATTCAGTTTAAAAAATTGAAAATAAATAATTTGTTTGCTATCATGGGGTACCTGATCAACCTAGATTAGACTCAGGAAGAAAAGGGAGGTACATATATATCAAGAGGCAGGAAAATGCCAGAAGATGTGACTACATATAGGCCTAGTTAATGCTCTTTCCATCTTTAGTTCCTGCAGAGAATAGTAATGGATGGGTGAGAAATTTTTATTAATGAATATTTTTAACCAGATCTCTTTTTCATCATCATTTTTACACTATAAAAGATATCCTTCCTCCTGGGGCAGAAGGAGGCAATTTAATAATGCAATTAAATTAAATTAAATTAAAAATTAAGAGATGGAAAGGTCTAAAGAAATGGCAGGTTTTAATAATGTTTTCTTAAAATTTTAAGTCACTACCAATGTGTCTTTTTATCAACTTAGGTTGGTTGCCTTCTAAATCACTGGGGATATAGATCCTTACTTGTTAAATCTTTCCATTTCTTGTACTAACACAGTATTCATGCTCTCTTCATATCTCACAGGATACCTCCATAGGGCTGTTTCAATGTCAAAATCATTTGGTAGCTAAGAGAATAGATTTTGAAGATCACATATTACTTTCAGAATGCATAATTAATTTAATTCAGCTATAATATCACTAATAGCTAACACTGTGCAGTTACTATGTGCTAGGCATTGTGCTAACTGCTTTCCATACATTACCTCATTTAATTCTTACCATACCCTCTTAGGTGGCCATTATTCTCTTCATTTACAGATAAGGACATTTAAGTACAGAGAGGTTAAGTAACTGCCCAAGGACACACAGCGAAAAAGTGATCTGTTTAAATCCTCAGGTCTCTAACTCCTAGGCCCATGCTCTTTACTACAGACAGGATATAGCACTTTGCAGAAGATACACATTCTGAAAAGCTATGTAATTTCCTTTTGTAAATTGAATCTTATTTCCCATTGATTAAACTGATGTGCCATCTCATAACTGTTTTATATTTATTTCCAAACAACTATCAACTGGCTCCAAATAGCCTAGCTTAGGCCACTATCAAATAATGTGTGAATGTAGCAGGGTTCTGGGGCACAGGGAGAGAGAAGGCCATCAAGTGTCTGATTTCTATGAGGCAAGGCAAGAATGCTTGAGAAGAGATGAAGGGGACTTTGGGACTGACGATCAAGCCACAAGACATTGGAATTCATACTCCTTAAGGGACAAAGAAGTTTTATAATCAGGGAAGTCCCAAACTAAAAAAGTTGAGATACCCAGGTTGTCCACAGATGATGGTCTCTGGGTGGTGTAAAAGAATTCTTCTAAATCACACTAGGTGGTGTCACTCAAGGACCCTTTGGTTTAGCACAACCCCCTCTACCAGATTCCACTGCCAGGTAACTTCCTATTAGGGATCTTGTACGATCCACCATTCTGCAAGGGTTAGAACCTTTCCCCACAGAGGTAAACCACAGAAACAGTTAAGGGGTCAGGAAAGAGAAGAGCAAACACGAGAAGCAGCAGGCTAGGGGAGGAGGCTAGTCTGCTTTCACGCTGGGGTGGCTGGGCAGTGCTCTTCCCTTTCTTCTCCAGTGGCTGCAGCCAGGTGTGTGGTGAGTAGGCTCTTCTTAAGGAGTGGTGTCTGGCAAGCTACCAACTGTGAGAGTCGAGGATTGGTGCTGTCCATGGGCTTTCAAGGCAGATGGACTATGGGCCAGGTTCTGCTGTGTCGGAGTGCCTGACTCTGAAATATGGGATAATTAGAGCATTTACTCTGTGTGGGGGTGGAAGGGGGATTGTGAAGATCTGTGCTTGGGACCATAAATCTCCTTAAACTTACATTAAGACACAGAAAAAAAGGTGAGAATAGAGAACATCATTCCACTTTACCTGGTAGGGCTAGGTACATTGGACTGTATTATGAAAAAAAAAAACCAAAAAAAAAAGCTATAGCACCTAATTTAGTGATGCTCTTATCTCCCTATGCTTCCTCACTTCCTAAGGTATAGATTAAAAACTATTCATTCCTAGGTCCAGCAAGTTCAGACTACTTCCTCCATTTTTAAAAAGTAGGTCCATTATCTTTGCTTAGAAATGATAATAAATTATATATTCATTAGCTCATCCACAACTATAGTTACTAAGAACTTACTATGTGCCAGGTATTATGCAAAGTACCTTAAATTCATCACCTCTTTAATGTTCACAAGAACTTTATCACCACTTTACAGATTTGGAAGCTAATGTTCAGAAAGGTAAACTATCTCACTCAAGGTCAGAATGCTACTAAATAGAGTTTTCAAATTGCCATTTCAGTACCATTTTGATTTATATTATATTATAAGCAATATATTTTAAGCTAAACATTACCTTTTTGAGAATATCTTTGGTAATTTCTAATAGAACCTGGTCAGTACTTCCTGAGGAGCCTGTCTGTTTGGAGCCTCCCTGGGTGAGGAGCAAGGACTCAAAGAGGATTTTCGTTTGTTGAAGATCTTTGGAGATATCAACATTTTCATGTAATCCAAATATCTCAGGGTGTTGAGTAAATGGGAGTTTCTATCACAATGGATTAAGCAAGCATTACATTTTCACTGGATACATTAATTCATAAGGTAGACACATACACATCAAAGAGGGTTAAAAATAAACTAAACAAACAATAGAGGAATTTTTCTAATTTTTGATGATAATTAGAAACAAATGATATCGAAAATTGATTGAAACCATAATACTTATCTAGCCCTATACATTACCAAGGAATATTTCACTGTTTTCCTTTTAGAAAAATCACTTAAATCTAACCGTATTTTCAGTGACATCAGTTACCTTAATGAATTCAATGTAATCATTATAGGTGCCTTTGGGAGGTGCATAATAATTTCCACTGGGAGAAAATTTATAATAAGGGTTTTCAATTATGTGTGAATTGTAAAAGTCAGCCAGCATGGTTAACAAGAGACGTCTGTCCCAATCATCTGTCACTCTTCCTCCATAGTTACACTCCCCAGTCAGGTAAGAGATAGCTTCAAATGGAACTGTGTCATATTCATTTATAAATAACTAAAATAAAGAAAAAATAAAATGAGGAAAAACAAAGTCTTTCACTTCATCTTCATTTTAAGATGGCATTAAATATCTATCTATCAATCATCATTTATCTATACACATAGAAGTGAGGTTGAAAGAATTATCATTGTGGGTTGTCTTTGGGTGACCTTTATGAGGCCCCTTGTCATAAAGGCCCTCATCACAACAAAGAAGCAGAAAAATATTAATATTCAGTGGTAGTCTAGTTGGATTTATATATGTGGTAAAATGTAACAGAAATAATGGGAAAAGTATTGGAGCTGGACAGACCTGAATTAAATCTGACCTCAGTGGGCAAGTTCACTTCCTAGCTATGGCTTTCTTAAAAATAGGGAAAATACCAACATTACAGGGTTGCTGTGAGGATTTGAATTAATATAAGTAAATGTGCCTAGTTCAAAGCCTGAGTTAGTAGAGATTTACAATGGATATTTATTCTTTTCTCCTTTTCCTTCTCCTTCTTCTTTTTTTGGAGGGAGCCTGCTGACCATCTGAATGTCTCACACTGAGAGGCTACAGAAACTGAAAAAGCTGGCCACTCCCTTTCCCAGCTTTCCTTACAGCTAAAGCCTAGGCCTGTGGCCTGTGCTTGGCTACTCAGATACATCCTAGACTGAACAGGGCTTTAGTAAGTAAAGAAGTAGGAAAAGCAAAGAATCTTTTGTAATGGTGTCAGAGGGCCTGCAGTAGACCAGAGTGTATGTGGCAGGTATATGAGCTCTGAAGTCAATATTCAACAAGGGTAGAGGGGTTGCTCTTATCAGACATGGTATGATTCTAGATAGGACTCTGGATGCCTTGGCTTTCCAGTCCTCTTGGTGACTCTGTGACCTACACGGTATTCTTTCAATAAATTCCTTTTCTACTTAAAGCAGACAGCCTGTTTCTGCTGACTGATAGAGCTCTTTGTAGATTTGACTGAGTGGAGAAGAGTAGAGGATAGTGAGGACCTATCTAAAGCCACCACTGAGGAGGGGACTACAAAAAGACAAAGAACCAGGGTCCTTGAGGACAATGCATTTGCTGAATCAACCAACTCCAGAGCCTGTACCTTCCTCTGTACTTTTTAAAGTGAGATAATAAGTTTCATTATGGTTTAAGCCAGTCTGAATAAGGTTTTCTACTATTTGCAGCAGAAAAAACATCCAGATGGAGATAGTGCTTCATAAACCACGGTTATAATTATGACTACTATCTCTCAATCTATTAGTAGTATTGGGAGAATTGAATAAGTTATTCTCAGCAAAGGGTTTGATACACAGTTATCCTCCATCAGTATTAGTTCCGTTCTAATTATACCTGTAGTTGTCGAATACTGATGCGTAAGTCTGATTCATTAAATCCATATGGAATATTCCAACCAAGAGGACCAAATTTCTTTCTCTCTTGTACAAGGGCATGAAAAAAACAAACTCCGAACAGCAACTTTTCCCATGCCTTTAATATAAAAATTATACAAGAAAAAAATTCTGATCAGATTTCCATCAGTAAAATGAGGGGAATCAGCAGTATTTTTCATTGTAAGATTCTAGGACTATATGTATCTCTCTACAAACTCCTATTTTAAAAAGACATGCTAATTAAAATAATGCTTATGATAAAAAGTATTAATCTTATGACTTAAAACCTTCAAAGCTAGACAAACTGCAATAATATTAAACTTTTAAAGTGCAATAATTCTACCATTTACCAAAGTACAGGTTAATAATACTTTGGTATTGTTCATAGATATATTTATAACTTCAACACTTAAATGTTATCCTATAGACTTGCTGGCATATGCTTGAGACTACAAGTGCAGGAGAATAATTAATCATAATATGAATAAATACCAATATGTAGTTCCTGACTTTGTGATTTTCCATTTGGAGATCATTTTTGAAACCACTGTTTATTTACTCCATGACATCTTCATATGTGTGACAGGTATGTCACATGGGCCTCTCACTAAGCCTGTCAGTGCTCAGGAGAATGACCACCCATCCCTTTGAGGTACCCCCAAGTAAATTTCAAGTATGCTACACAGTATGTATTTTTAAGTTAGACAATCTTAAATAGCTCCAAATGCAGTAAAAATCCATCCAGCTATTTTCATGTGATGCAGTAGTAGAAACTGTTTCTATAATATTAAAATGTTAAGTACACCATGGCTTAACTAAATAACTGTATTCTTGAAATGTTGTCAATAAATCAAAGCATATTATACATACACTGGATGAATGCTGTGGTGATATATTTAATGGGGAAAAACCTTTTGGCAATAAGAGCAATATCCTAATTTAGGTATATTTTCACATAATGGGTTTTCTTAAGGAGATGATAATTTCCTCTACATTTTTGGCCTGTGCTAGTAAGCCAAGAAGGCTCCTGTGGTATCAGAGAAACCTTAGTGTTCAGGATGATGCATACTTAAGGTGAGATACTGTTAGCCTAAGATGAGTTGGAATATACAGAGAACATTTTCTACAGCTGTGGCTGAAATTAGATATGGCCGAAATTAGATATGGGCTGAACAGATGTGATAAGGGCCATCACAGGAATTTGCCAGTTCTGTTATCTAGATATTTCTTTTTTTTTTTTTTTTAGCTGAGTCATCCTGCCACCTGCTGGCAACTCAGCAGCAGCTCAGCTCGGGCTGGGAATCGAACCAGCAACCCTGTTGCTCAGGGCTCACACTCTTGAGCAAGCTCTTAGCCAACTGAGCCACTCAGCCAGCCCTCTAAATATTTTTTAAAACCAATCTATATATTTTAAAAACACTCTTAAATATTAAAGAATATATTATTAAAAAAAAATTTTCTGCAGGCTGCTATTTTTTTCCTCCCCCAGTGTGTGTTTTTTCCAACTGATTTCTGAATTATATTTTCCAGGGTACATTTTGTGACTAATCCAAGGGGGTAGCAGGATGATATCATCATCTACCTAAAGATGATATCATCAACCCAGCATCAATGGGGTATGTCTTTTGGTTTGTTTTCCATGATGTACCTGAGTTTCCTTATTTAAAAAACAAGGTTGTGATAATAATACTTATATTAGAGGGTTATAAGGCTTGTATATTTAAACTACCCAGAACCTGCTGGTGTTCAATAAATGCTTGTTCCCTTTCTCCCCCTCCCATTTCTTTCCCTGTTTTTGTCTTCTCATAGTTCATAGTACAATCATGGCAGTGGTTCCAAACTGAGCTAACAATTGAATTTCCTTTGTTATTTGTTTCTTGACACAAGTTGTTGAGCTCCACTTTGGACTTAGTGAATCAGACTCTCCAGGAGTGGGGCACTGACATCAGTAACTTGAACAAGCCCATCGGGTGTATGGGGCTATGCTTGATCTTGCATACATTTCCCTTGACTAGAATGTAAGCTCCATGAAGACAGAGATTTTTATGTTTGTATATTTCATATGTTTATATGTTTATTGCCATATTACCAGTTCCTAGAAGAGTGCCTTATACGTAGTAAGTGGTTCAAGGAATATTTATTGGATGGATGGATGGATGGATGGATATATGGAAATGTATCCTTGCCCTTAAGGAGACTACAACTTAGTTTAGGAGACAGATATAAAACTAACAAATAACTAATATAATGCTGACCGAGTGGCTCAGTTGGTTAAGAGTGAGCTTAAGAGCATGAGCTCTGAGCAACAGGGCCACCGGTTCAATTCCCACATGGGCCAGTGACACGGCGCCTGAGCTGAGCTGCCACTGAGCTGCCAACAAGTGGCAGGATGGCTCAGTTGGTGAGAGCACATGCTCCTAACAACAAGACTGCCTGTTCGATGGTGGGCTGCGCCTGCCCACAACTAAGACTGAACCCAGCACCTTGAGCTGAGCTGCCACCCGGATGGCTCAGTGGATAGAGCATGCACTCTTAACCAAAAACTGCCAGTTGGACTTCCACATGGGATGGTGGCTACACCCACCTGCAACTAAGATTGTAACACAGCACCTTGAGCTTAGAGGCCATGAGCTGCCGATGGGCAGCCAGATGGCGATTGGCGCCCTCCACAACTAAGATTGAAGAACAACAACTTGGCTGGTCCCCCTCCCCAATTCCCCAAAGCTGTTCCCCTCCCCAATCCCCCAATTTAAAATAAAATAACTAATATAATTCCTAGATAATTCAAATGCCCAAGATGTCGATTTACCTATCAGTATAAAGATCTTATTTACTTTTTTTTATTGTGAAATAAACATTTTTTAAAATTAGTTTCAGCTGTACAACACAGTGTAATAGTTATACTTTTTACCCCTCAAAGTGACAACCCCCTTCCCCCAATCCGCCACCCCACTCCCCCCATATCATACATATTTATTACAATTCCCTTGACTCCACTCCCACACTATACTCCATGTCCCATGACTTATAGTTGACATACAATATTATACAACATCAGCTTCAGGTGTACAGTGCAGTGATCAAGTCTCTACCCCATCCATGAAGAAGTCTCCCTAACAAGACATGTGACCACCTGACACCCTACAAAATATTTACAACATTATTAATTATATTCCTCAAACTGTCTTTCATGTCCCTGTGGCAATATTGTAGTTACGTATTTATGCTGTCTAATCTCTTCCCCTTCTCCCTCATCCCCACCCCCTCCCAACTAACAGCCATCAGTTGTTCCTCTATATCTCTGAGACCACTTCTGTTTACTTTCCTCGTTCATTCAGTTTTTTAGGTTCCACATATAAGTGAAATAATTTGTCTTTCTCCAACTGACTTATTTCACTTAACAGAATAGTCTCTAGGTCCATCCATATCATTGCAAATGGTACGATTTCATTCTTCCTTATAGTGGAGTAATACTCCATTGTGTAAATGTACCAGTTTCTTAATCCAGTCATCTACTGATGGGCATTTCGGTTGTTTCCAAGTCTTGGCTATTGTAAATAGCACTGCAATAAACATAGGGGTGCATATATTTTTTCAAATTAGCATCTTGGGTTTCTCTGAATGGAAACCCAAGAGTGGAATTGCTGGGTCATATGGTAGTTCCATTTCAAGTTTTTTGAAATACCTTCTTATTTACTTTTAATAGTCAACTGATGATAGTTCAAATTATTGCTGGCCCAATGGTCATAAATTAGCCTTATCAAAGGGTATTCCAGCTATTTCTAGGAGCCTCAAAAAAAGTTTCATATGTGCCTACAAAGCAGTCCGCTACAAAAACCCTAGGGCAGTGGTTCTCAAAGTGCGCTTCCAGGACCGTCAGCATCAGCATCACCTAGGAATGTGTTAGAACTGTAAAATTTTAAACCCTACCCCAGACCAACTGAGTTAGAAATTCTGGAGGTGGGGCCCCACTAGAAGATTGTGATGCACATTGAGAACCAATGTCATAGGGCAACTACACTCTTTTACTCCTCCCACCCCAGCTCCTATTTGTTTTTAGTACCAAAGAATTGGCTTGATGAAGCCTTACCCATCACCTCTGTTCATCATAAAAATGACGATACAATACGTGGCAAGGGTGCTATCTTTGGATGTTTTACAGACCCCAATACTTGGGTGGCAACATTGCTTGCTCCTTGTTGTAATACAGGAGGAGAGTGCTGCTTCTTCAACTCAGAGCCATTCTATATACTAAGCCCCCAAACAGCTCTGCTTTTGTTTAGAATCTTTAAAAGTTTCCCTTGGGGCTTCCCGAGTGGCTCAGTTGGTTAAGTGCAGGAGCTCTGAGCAACAGTGTTGCTGGTTCGATTCCCACATGGGCCAGTGAGCTGCGCCTGAGCTGAGCTGCCGCTAAGCTGGTGAGAGCGCGTGCTCTTAGCAGCAAGGTTGCCGGTTCAACACCCGTAGGGGATGGTGGGCTGCGCCCTCCTCTCTCCCCACACTCCTCCCCTCCCCGCAACTAGATTGAAAGCGGCGACTGGACTTGGAGCTGAGCTGTGCCCTCCATAACTAAGATTGAAGGACAACAACTTGACTTGGAGCTGATGGGTCCTGGAAAAACACAGTGTTCTCCTTCCCATATTCCCCAACACTGTTCCCCTTCCCAATTCACCAATAAAAATCTTTTTTTTTTTTTGGTTTGTTTTGTTTTGTTAAAGTTTCCCTTCTCTGCTTCTGGCTCTCTCTCCTCTAATTGCAGGAGTTCAAACTCTGGATGGGGATCAGACAACATACCACCTTTTTCATTTTACTATGGTCTCTTCATAGCTAAAACCACCAAGTATCCTTCTTTCCCCCCAGAGTTATAAATGAAATTATTGCTCAGAACTAGAGCACACAAAAAGTATCATTAAGCAGGAAGAAATTAGCCGGCTTCCAAAGACTTCAATCATTTAGGCAAATACATGTATGATAAATAGCAATGTGTTGGAGGTGAGGGCAGGGGATGATTTTTCTCTAGTATTGATATTTTCTTCCATGTGGGGAAACCTCAATTGATGTGATGCTCCTGGATTTTCTCCATCCTTGTACTCACTGCAGGAGAGGGGAGTGGCCTATCTGATCAGTAAATTTGGGAAAAGCTAACTAGATATGTTTTGTTCAGCTTCTCCCTTTTCTCTCTTAGCATTGAGCTTCCTGCAGGGAAGGAAGTTTTCCTTTGTTCCTCTGGGTGGATAAATCTGCTTAATTCTGGGTTCAGTAATACGAAGCCCATTGCTCATAAATATAAATTACATCTTCCTATACTATATCAGTAGTTAAGGTTATATTTGGGTTTCCATATGTTTATACTTTTTCCTATTTCTTAATTGGTAAGAATTCAGGCATGGAAAAGTACTCCTAAATTTCCCCATAACCATATGCAAAACTGTTTTCCATGGATACATTGAAAAGCATTATTAATATGTCAAAACATCATTGCTAGAATTTAAGATCCATGAAGGCAGATTCTTTGGGGGGGGGTCTATATTATTCCCACTACTTTATATCTAGCACCCAGGACAGTGCCTAACACACATATTTGTTGAAAGAATGAATAAATGATGTGAAAATAGTTTGCTACATTTGGGTCTTAATGAAATACACTATTGGACTTTGGTTTACAAACTAAGATACATTCATTTACTCAACAAATATTTATTTGACTGTCTACTACTTGGGAAGCAGAACACAAACTATTGAAAATAAAATGATAAACAAGATAGGTACAATATCTGTATTCTTAGGAAATGTCTAAAATTTCACATTATTAAATAAAATACTTATATTTCCATGCTTTATCACTATAAAAACGTATTTTAAACGTTCTAGAGCAGCGGTTCTCAACCTTCCTAATGCCGCGACCCCTTAATATAGTTCCTAATGTTGTGGTGACCCCCAACCATAAAATTATTTTCGTTGCTACTCTATAACTGTAATTTTGCTACTGTTATGAATCATAATGTAAATATCTTTTTG